GGCTCTTGTAATAATGAGAGCAAGATTTCCAGTCAACAGGATCGGGTGGTCAGACTCGCTGACTTGGCTGACACATGTCATCGTATCCCAACTGCGTAGATCGATGCTCATACTGTTTTTCACTGGATTGTCTGGTCCAAACTCGATTATTTACAGATAATATAATTGAATGTAACATATGGTATATTTGAGATTACACTTTCTTCGTAAAGTACAGATTCTAGTACACGTGGAAGCCGAGGTGGCTGAGCGGGTTAGGCATCTGACTTGTGTGCTGAGGATTAAGTACCTGGCTTTGAGGGTGTGGGTTCGAATCCCGAATGGGACTCAATCCAACAAAAGAACTAGAATCTGCACTTTACTAAGAAAGTGTAATCCCAAATATAACATGTGTTACATTTGACCACTTTCTAAAAGGTGCGGGGTTCGAATCTATCGGTCGTAACGTGGGGTCGTTACTGTGTGCGGCCACTACTGGGATGGTATATAACGTGACTGTTTCGCTGAAAACATCGCCACAGACACCAAAAGTGGTTTCTATGGTGTTACAAGGCTGCATTGAGTGGAAATGGTTGTCTGGTCTTTCAACGTGAACATTGATGGTCATTTATATCGAATATTTCATGCTTCTTTCAAATTTCGTGCAGTTCGAAAAACAGCTTGGTTATGTTTCTTTTACCGATTTAACACATTCTCTCTCAGGTTCAAATCCAAAAATTCATTCACAAGAATATCAATGAAAAAACTGAATGTCATAATAACATTTGCCTCTGAGTATATAATCAAGCGTGATATCACTTAGCGTAAAACCTTTTCGGTCATTTTCACCACTTCTCCGCAAGCTCTGGGATCATTTACAGCAACAGATTGTGGATTTTGGAAAGGAAAAACAAAATTGATCAATAAATTCCTAAACAACTTGAATAAAATTGTCATGAACAAGGTATGTGGTATCCGTGTATAACAATGAATGTGAACATTAAGGTGAACCGTCTCTGTCCCGTAGTTTTTATACCAGGCGATTAGACATGGACAGTCAGCGATCTTTCGGGTCTCAACAAGTCCGCTGAACGTAAATTTGGACTTAATGCCAAGTGAACAATCCTAGCTTGCTCAGACAGCTAATGGAGCTTTTTAACTGATTTCAAGCAGGCTTCCCAAATCATATTAACCACTGTAATTCTACATCAAACGGCGAGATAATGACACTGTTTAGGAATCGATGGAAGGACTTGATGGCGTAATTACTGGAAGACATACAACATTCTAATGGTCCTCCCTAAGATTTTCAGTCTGCGTCAATATTAAACTGTTTTTCAAACTGAGACTTGGTGGATCTTAATCGAAACATATACGGAACTGGAACAAACGCAACGTGTCTGATGCAAAGAGATCTTACGAGAGGTCATTGTTTTCCATCAGGCATCAGGTTTAACAATTATTTCAAGTTTCTTTTACGCACACACACACAAAAAAATTAAAAATAAATAAACAAAAAATCAAATTGAAATTTAAAAAAAAATAAAAAAAATCGATATACTTTCTTTTGTCCCCAGGTCTAAGTGACAATGTTGCAGGACCTGGAAATCGAAGCATGAGTTGCGTCTTAAAGAGCATGTCGTGAGTACCACATCACGCCCAAGAAACAAATAAACAGGCTGTTCCTGGTTCCTAGTGCACTCTTAATGAGAATGGGTATATATAGACTAAGTACTAGAACATAAGATCACCAGATGATCACCAATCACCGTGATTGAGTAATTAGAAGTGTATGCCGCTGTTCCAGATGGGAGCTCAAAACCTGAACAGAAGAGAACTCGGGTCTTCGGCGTGACAAGTCAACACTTTAACCACCAGCCTACCCCAGGCACCAAATAAGGCATCTGCCTATGGGATGCAGTCACAGCAAATGATCTTAGCAGTATGAATATCATAATTCCCTCTTATAATACTCGTGAAGAACACGAGTCATAATTGGTCTTCAGTAACCCATGCTTGTTGTAAAAGGCGGCCAACGGGATCGGGTGGTCAGGCTCACTGACTTGGTTGACACACGTCATCGTATCCCAATTGTGTAGATCGATGCTCATGCTGTTGATCACTGTATTACCGACTCGATTATTTACCGACTGCCGTAAATATACTGGAATATTGTTGTGTGTAGGGTTCAACAACAAACCAACCAACTCATTTAAGATAGTTGCAGGGACAAGACCCTTTGTGATACTGAACTGGGAACACGTTGAATACAGTTCTTTGGATCAAATATCTACCTCGTACAACAGATAAATGGCACACTTAGCGTTCATCTCTTGGCATTCCTAATCGCTGTTTGCTGGGCGTTGACAGTTCCGTTCCAGATCTCGTGACTATCCACATCAATTATTATGGCATTTCTGAAAGACATATCCAATTATTGATGTGTTTGTGTCATCGAAATGCGGGCAATACCTTTATCAAAATGTACAATAGCACAAATAAACGCACGTCTTTACCTGGTTGAAGTTCTCGATGTAGATTATGAATAATCCTCCACGTTCTCAGTTGGATTGGATAAGGACCGCCTCCGTGGTGTAGTGGTTAGAGCGTCCGCCCGGAGAGCAGAAGGTCGCAGGTTCGATCCCCGACCGCGTCATACCAAAAGACGTTAAAATATGGTACTTGTTGGTCCCTGCCTGGCGCTCGGCATTAATAGGTACAACAAGGACTGGTCGGCTCGGAGTCAGTATAATGTGTGGGGTATTCATGCTTCACTGCGGCATGGTATCTCAGTGGGCTAGCACTATAAAACCAGGTCTAGTCTGGGCTAGTACAAGCAGCCGCACATACACATACACGCGCATGCACGTCGTCATATGAGCGAAATATTCTCAAGCACGACGTTAAACCCAATTTCACCTCACCTCACCTGGATTGGATATGTTAGGTGGGATAGCCAAGTGGTTAAAGCGTCCGCTCCTCACGCTGAAGACCAATGTTCGATTCCCTACATGGGCACAATGTGTGAAGCCCATTTCTGGTGCACTGTGCCCCGGTTTGAGTTTTGCTTGAATATTGCTAAATGCGGCGTTAAACCGTACTCACTCACTCACTCAATTGGATTGTAATTTATAAATATACTCATGCCAATAATGGTTGTCACCCCCTTCAATTTTCTTTATTGGAGAGGGTGTGTGGGGTGTGTGTGGGGTTGGGATGGGGAAGGGGGTGACAACCATTATTGGCATGAGTATACAAGTTCATATGAACGTGGGGTCTATAAACCCATTTTCAGTTTCTCCATTTCAGATAATTGTGTTGTAAATATGAGCTGCAAGTAAAGTTAAATTATAAATGTAACGTTTCCTCGAATCATGTGTAACTTCTGATACATCAATCCATTAAACAATAAACTTGCCTCTTTCGTTGATATGGATAAGTAAAATGTGAGACGCTGTTCTGTACGACGCCTGAAGATGGTCACTTAGATGGTCCAGAACGACTATTATTTAGCTTGCTGTAATTCTAGAGCTTGGAACTCCCCAGACGTTACATGCAACTTGGCTCGATCATTGTCATCAAATGTACCCGAGGCATTAATTCATTTCATTTAATTCATTCTGGCTGTTATTGAGAACCACGTTTCGCCAGTATCGCAAGATGCAGATGCTCTGTTTTCTCAGGCTTATCGATCGAACTATTGAAACCATGCAAACGTTGTGAAGATAAACTGAAAAAAAGTATTGGTTGCTTCGAAATTGTTTTATTGTATAAATAATTAATGACATAGGGCAAAATATACTCATGCCAATAATGGTTGTGTTATGGAATAACAGCTCTCTATTTGTGTTATGGACTAACAACCTTTTAATTGTGTCATGGATAACGGCTCTTTACTTGTGTTATGGAATAACAACTTTGTATTTGCGTTATGGAACAACTCTATTTGTGTTATGGAATAACAACTCTTTATTTGTGTTGTGGAATGGCAGCTCTTTTCTTGTGTTACTTTGAGTAAGTAAAGAGACAGATTAGAGAGGTTATTGTATAAAATCATTAACTACCTTTCATACCAAAATTTACTAAGTGCATGATTTATTAAATTTCGTGCAAGCGGAAATCGGTGAGGATTCATTATCAATCGTCGATGTTTTCACTGTTGAGTAGATATTTGTTTCCAAGCGAAACAGATTACCTAATAATTCATGATTCTGTTGTGAAATGTCAACGTACACATATAAACTCTTGACTGCTACAGGAGGCAGTTATCTGTTTAGCAATGTATCGGCTTTCAGTATTGATCTAAATTTCAACTGAGCATCTTTAAAACAGCGAGTGGCAGATTTCCCAGATGTGTAGATTGTCATAGGTACAACCGCACTTGTATCAAAATGTGAAAACATATGGTATCCATGATGGGGTTTGCCTCTGGGAATGGAGACAAGGCTTTCGATCAGGTCCTGGGTTCGAATCCTAAACCCGATACACGCAGGTGACGGTATTTCTGTTGGGTCTGAGTCTCCGTGGGATGACATACTCTGTCATCCACTTTACCAATTACCCCTCTCTAAGCTGTGGCTATGAAATATTGCGATAGATTCTTGAGATAGATTCAGTTTTCCAAGGACCGCCTTACTAGCTGCAAAATTTATGTCCACGGCGTAAGGCAGCCCTGCATATTTGTTAAAAGGACCCACCTCTGTGTTTGCCTTGGGTATTCGGGGTTCCGATCCAGGGCCAAGATTTTCGAAGCTCTCTTAGCGCTAAGATAGTCGTAAGTGCTATGCATTAACATTAACTCACGACTATCTTAGCGCTAAGTGAGCTTCGAAAATCTAGGTCCAGAAAGCGTTCGTAGTGCTACGACATTCGTTAGCCTATAATAAACTGTAGAGTTACGACATGTCGTAACGATACGAACGGTTTGGGGATCGGGAAATGACTATTGTCAAGTACTCTCACGAACCAAACTAGTTTCACCCATCACTGAGACAAAGACAACTGCATGACAACACAAGACACGATATGCAGCATTATTGTATTCGTTGCTTTTTATACAGGGATAGTTAGAACCGTTTCTAAGTCCTTTCTCACTATATGGAACTCGTAGCTTCTCCTTGATATAGCTGCTAACACCACGCCCATGCTCTCCAGTACCATAGTCAACGGTGCTATGAATATTGTTAAGACACACAATACTATACACTTCAGGACTCCGTGTCTACGAATAGAGAAGGACTTGATGGCTCCGAGGATGAAGAGGAATAGCACAACGCCCCCGGTAAACGCGAACAACAGGTCAAGCAACGGATGCACTGGGATAGGGAATAGGGGAATAAGGATGAAGTTTAGCGACGTCACAGGCATCACCACCCACGACAGAATCATCACACTGATCCCAAGTTTGTATCTGAAAGGAATCTGGTTGCTAAGGAAAGTGAGCGATATGCCCTGAACCCAACGCTTCCGCTGTCGAATATAGTCCATGACAGAAAACGTGGACTTTTCCCACATTTCGCCCTCGACGTATCCAAATTTGTATCCTTCCTTCCACGCCGTGAGGGCGAAGAAACAGTCTTCAGCTATGCTTCCTTCAGGGCCAAAGTCAAAAGAAACCTTTTTCTCCGCGCCGGCGTTAGCAACGATAAATGAACCTTTCCAGCTGAAAACTGGCTTGTGAAGCACCCCTAGCGTGAATCTCAATGTGCCGTAGTCTGCTCCTACCCTTAGGAGATCTGCCAGTGTTGTCACCCAGTTAACAATTGAGTCACTAGCATACGTGATAACACCTTGTCCAAACTCGTACTGTCCTGCACGGATGAAGTTCAACACACCAGCCAAAGAGGATTCTGTAAGGAGGGTCTCCTCGTCGAGATGAACCACCCAATCACTGTCGTTCAAAACCGTGACGTCATCTTCTAGAGAGTATTGCAATGCACGTGCTTTGTATAAGGCCCCCCTTGACGTCTTGTACATGGATGGTACAACCAACTCTCTCACGTTGATAGACTCGTCCAGAGAGATCGGTCTGTCTGTCACAACCTCAAATATATAATTGGTAAGACCTACTTTGGAACACAGTTCTACGTTTCTTTGGACATTCCTCTTTACTAATTCCGGGTAGGTGCCACGGGTCACCACTCTGAAACAGATTGGCCCAAAGAGTGGTGACATCATCAGCTTCGGGGGATCTGGATGCGTATTTCCCACGAGGATCCCTATAAAGTTGCTTAGTGTTATTGGTAACGGCACCAAGGCAAGGATTCGAAGAATATACATAAGAAGGGTTAGCATCGTGCCATATTTGGTGTAAGGATCAACGCCCTCTGACGGATCAGTTGCAAAGGGGAGAGCACCCGAGGCTGAGAAGACGAGGAACAGGATAATGAAAAGAAGAACTACTGTGAGATAGTGTTTCAGGCGACTGTACATGGTATCCAAAATGTCGGCTTGAATCGTATCTGAAAAAAGTAAAAAGAGATGTCATAAACAATTAATGCGAATGAATCGGAAATATAAAAAATTGAAGTTCCGTGACATTCATTATACACAACGTTATGTCGTAGAATATGATCCTTGAGGTTTTTTTGGTAAGAAACGATGTTCAATGTGAGCACTTCAATACATACAACTTGTTCATCAACACGAGACGTAACTCACTGTTACATCAAAGACACCCAGCACGTCAATCGAATCAGATTTTTTTTCCTTAAACCAGAGACCAACTTTTTAAAGCAGTTTTTTTAAGGATTAGTAGCATTTTCCTAAGATTGTAAAATAAAGCTCTGTTTAAAATCCATTACTTTTGGCCATGTTATTAGTTATTATTGGAATATATCATATTTGCAAAGACCGCCTCCATGGTGTAGTGGTTAGAGCGTCCGCCCGGAGAGCGGAAGGTCGCGGGTTCGATCCCCGTCCGCGTCATACCAAAAGACGTTAAAATATAGTACTTGTCGGTCCCTGCCTGGCGCTCTGCATTAATGGGTACAACAAGGACTGGTCGGCTCGGAGTCAGTATAATGTGTCTGAGTGGGGTATTCATGCTTCACTGAGGCATGGTATCTCAGTGGGCTAGCACTATAAAACCAGCTTCAGTCTGGGCTAGTACAAGCAGCCTCACATACACATACACACGCATGCACGTCGTCATATGAGCGAACTATTCTCAAGCACGACGTTAAACCCAATTTCACCTCAACTCACCCATATTTGCAAAAGTGAATTATGAAGTGGTTTTTTAATATATATTTTAGTGTCAGGATTGCTAAAGGCATCTGACACAGTTATGTGACCAAACGTCAGCCTCTGTCAACAGATAGATGGAATTGTATTCCAGTTTAGCTCAGACTGACGTGAAGTACAACAGTCTAAATCGTATTGCTTTCGCTTCAGCCCGGTTCTTGCCACATACTTCCTTGCCCTCAACAGTGTTACCTATTGCTGCGCGTTGGTTATATTTGAAAGAAAAGTCTCTGGGGATTCTGGACCAGACTTTCTCTCAGTACCTCAAATTTGTCGAACTGACAAGTGAGTAAGTGAGTTTATAGTTTTATGTCGAATTTAGCAATTTTCCAGCAATATCAAGGCTGGGCCCGGATACCAGAAATGGGCTTCACTTATTGTACCCATGTGGGAATTGAACCTAGGTCTTCGACGTGACGAGCGAACGCCTTAACCACTAGGCTACCCCACCTAGTTCATTCAATCTTATACCCCAAGCTCATTTGATCACTTATATAACACCCAAATGTAATAATTTTAAACGTGCATTTAATTTCCACATAATCACAATTCTATATTTCCCACAATGATAATATGCGTTAAGATCATTGTTGTGTTTCCCGAAGTGGTATCACTGGAACACTGCAAACCGTGTTCCACTCACCCATGTCGCCATAAACTCAGTTCAACCAAGTCGTTAACTGTTCATACCATCCACCACTAGTTCAGTAGGTCCACGTCCGACAACTTCCCAAACATCCCGGGGTGGTGGGGTAGCCTAATGGTTAAAGCGTTGGCCGAAGACCCGGGTTCGAATCCCCACATTGGTACAATGTGTGAAGCCCATTTCTGGTGTCCCCCGCCGTGGTGTTGCTGGAATATTGCTAAAAGCGGCATAAAACCAAACTCAGTCAGTCAGTCAGCCAGTCAGTCCCAAACCTGACATCAGATCACTCTCCGAATGCCAAAGTGGGTCGACAGTGTCGATTTAACCGGTGGTCGGTTACGGTTAACCTATTCTAGTTGATAGTATGTCATCGTACCCAATGTCTTGATACCCATGAAGATTCGTGTTAGAATTGGTCTTCAGCAACCCATGCTTGTCGTAAGAGGCGACTAACGGGATCGGGTGGTCAGGCTCGCTGACTTGGTTGACACAGTCATCGTATCCCAATTGCGAAGATCGATGCTCATGCCGTTGATTACTGGATTGTCTGGACTCCAGACTCGTTGATTTACCGACCGCCGTCACATAGCCCACCTGAGACCGGATGTAAAAACCTTGGAGTCAACTTTGTGTGCAGACTCTTTCAGTGTTGTCACAACCCCTAGTGTACAGTACACAACCCTGTGCACTTAAAAGAACCCACGAATCCGGTGGTATTTGACCAGATGGTGGCCACATGAATACGTGCAAACACCTAGTTGCGGGTACAGCAACGTGCAGTGAACATGGACAAAGTACTGTGACTATGTGTCCCAGTCCACCCAGCTGTGAATGGGTACCTCGTTAGGATGAGAAAGCCACAATAACTCGGTGCGCCTTGTGGCTGCAAGAGTTGTATACTCCCCCAGGGAGTTGATATTGATAATGCGATGTGCCGTTGAGTTTGACATCCAATGATCGAGGGAGAAAATACCAGCGCCTTGAGCATGCACTAGTGCGTGGATATGTGCGCTATATAAATATCCTATAATAATAATAATAATATTGCCGAGTGCGGCGTTAAACAACAAAACAACCAACCAACCAACCAATGTCTTGATCCTTATAAAGCACATACTTTAACTGGTGATTTAATTATATTGGCCACAGAGATATAGCAGTATCACACCTAAACCATTATCCATTATTTTTGCAATGAACCACTGGTTAATTTCACTGATGACAGACAGATTTCTTCTTACGAGAGAAAAAACAATAATGTTCAATAAATTCCTGATCCAAATAACTGGAATCAAATTCTCATGGATAAATGCAATAACCAGATGCTTCTTTGTGGTATTCGAGATGAAACAATGTAAACGTTGAGTTGACTCCACGCTTTCCATACATTCTCTATGGTTTTGATACCAGAAGATTCTGACATGGACAGTCGAATCTCTATTTTCATGTCCTCTAAACGTAAATTAGGACTTAATGCAATTTCAAAAGACATTTCTGTCAGATAGCTAACGGACTTGTTTAACTGACTTAGAGCAGGCCTCCCAAATTGTATTATCCACTGTAATGCTGTTTCAAAGGATGAGATAATTACGCCCCTCTTTAGGGGTCGATGGTTCGGAACTGATGGCGTCATTACTCGAAGACATACAACATTCTAATGGTGCTTCCCAAGATTTTCAGTCTGCATCAATATTAAACTGTTCTCCAAACTAAGATCTTCTCTTTGGTGTATCTAAATCGAAAATATACTGAGCAGTAACAAACGCAACGTGTCGATCACGATAGATTTCCCGACCTTCTTTCAGATAGGTGTGGTAGCCTACTGGTTAAAGCGTTGACGTCACGCCGAAGGCCAGGGTTCGATTCATGGGTACAATGTGTGAAGCCCATTTTTTGATGATCCCGCCGTGGCGTTGCTGGAATATTGCTAAAAGCGGCGTAAAACTACACTCACTCACCTTCAGATATCATTTACCTTACTAGTTACACTAAACTAACGAATATAACAAATAGTTATTTTGGTAGTGGCAACTTGCATTATTGCTAGTCGAATATGGGTTATCATGAAAGAAAATGTGTAGACCCTTTGAGTTTGTTTTAACCGTAATTTACTCAATTTAAAATAGGTTTTGAAACAACAGGAAAAGATATCTGCCTTATACAGTTGCAGTAATTTATACCTTAGACACCAAGAGCGACACCGCTGTCGCATCGATGGATCCATATTAAGTCTATTATCATAAAAACGCATAACTCAATAACATAAAGGCCATGAGTGAAGTTGCGTGACCATCCACAAAATTAAGTTATATGTGGATTGTCAAGGCAGTGATGATCATGCAAACTGGGTGACGTTCTACAACATTTATTGAACACTTTAAATTATAATCATAAAAAAGCCCATTTCTGGTGTCCCCCGCCGTGATGTTGCTGGAATATTGCTAAAAGCGGCGTAAAACCAAACTCAGTCAGTCAGTCAGTATAATCATAAAACAATGCCAAAGATGTAGATGAATTCGTCTTAAGCAGGAGAAACCTGTCAAAAAGTTGGAATGAGGAATGTAGCCTGTACTAAACTGACCTCAGGTCATCACCATGGAATTAGCCAATCACGGACGTGGAATTCAGTCTCACACAAAGTCTCGTCGCATATTTTGATGGGCGAGACATTCACACTTTCAACCGCAAACCTAATGGAGCGTTTACTTTTGTTTACAGGACAGCTGTACAGGGAATATTAAGCAGAAACAATGCCATCCGTATACCACATTACACCCAAGAAAGATACAGACAGGGTGTGGCGAGTTTTTATTGGTTCCTTGAACATTTTCCTTATTAATGAAAATGCGTAAAGAACAACGGCTTAACTGGTCCGGAAGCTTTCAACTCCCTGGATCTCCAGCCTCGAATCGATACAAACATGATGAGAAGTGTTTATCAAAGACAATGTGGGGGTACTTGAGTATCAGAGCCTACCGGGGCTTATGCTACTTAGCTTGATGAGATGTTCACCAACAAACAGGTTGGATTACGTCATGTTAAACATCATGATAAACAGCTATCTCTGATAAAACTAACTCCAGAAGCGCAAAAGCCAATTCGGGGGCGGCGGGATAGCCTAGTGGTTAAAGCGTTCGCTCGTCACGCCGAATACCCGGGTTCGATTCCCCACATGGGTACATTGTGAGAAAGCCATTTCTGGTGTCCCCCGCCGTGATATTGCTAAGCGGCGTAAAACTAAACCCACTCACTCAAAGCCAATTCGTTATATCCGGACAGTTGTTGATATATACAGTAATGTGCAGTTTCTAATTTGGCAATTCTAGTTCCGTAAATTTAAGTTATATTCAGCAAAAATAAGATATTCACACTGCTGTTAAACCCACACCATCAATACAGCTCCCGATTTTAAAGCTGTGAGGTATGTTTTAAGAGAGGTGGGTGTATCCACACACAGACACAGACACACACACACACACAGTGTTTCGAAGGCCTTTAAACTATGGAGAAGTAACTTTCAATCCATAAATCCCAGGAGTCATACGGCTGCCCTTGCTAAAGTCAAAGTGCTGGATTGAATGCTACTTCCTCACATGTACAGTATACAGACTGTAGCACGACTGTAGTAGAAATACAGCATGTTTGTATAATGAAGTTTTAAATGGAACACGTGTCAGATTTCCCTGGGTATCTGTTCTTGGCTTAAAGCCCTTTCGGTCTCTTTTGCATTGATCTTAGAATCTCTTTTTAGTTGCTTTTATCCACACTCCAGCAACATAACGACCGGGACCCAGAAATAGGCTTCAACATTATGCCCACGTCAGGAATGGAATCAGGCTATTTGTAGTGACTAGCAAACACTATTGATACGACCACTGCGCAGCCCCATTTAAATTCTTGCATTCACATCAAATCACGTACTCTAAGAGAACAAGGCCTGTCATTCATCAAATCATATAACAAATAAAAAAATGCAGATTGTCTTTTCATTAACTTGTTTTGAGGTTTCGTTGTCCTGGAGCGTTTTGTATTAGTTCCAGTAAGTCTAGGATCATTCCGTCCACAAGACATGGCATCCTTTTGGCTTAAGGCATACTAGACGCTTGAGCGAGAATTCGGTTTCAGCACTAAACACGGCATCGGTAACACAAAACATCCCTATTCCAAGTTTATGGCTTTACTGCTCGTAATCGCCCATGTGATGTGCAGCTTTAACCGTCAGCCTGATGTTGTCTCAAATTATTGCTGCGGATAAGGCAGACGAGCTTGGTTTTCTCCACAAAAACAGCTCTGTCTATGTGAAATTCAGTCCGCAGTTCTGTAATAGATGAACCTCGGCACTAAAAGCCAAAGAGCTAGACATTTGCCCTAATGATAATGAGAAGCCTTCAGATAATGCAGACTGTGATCACAAACAGTTACGAAAACTCAAAAATGGTTGCAGATAATTACAGACCATGTCGTTATCGGATTGGCAGTTCTGACAGACCTTTTCAACATGTACCTAATGATGTAGTATCATTTATACAGTTAGTCATGTTTCATCAAACCCACACGAGTAAACCGCCGCTCGACAGACATGTTGGCCAATCGACAAGATAGTTCATCTAACCCCTAAATTCGCCAGACAAGATGTTGCATAATTTTACATCAATTCTGAAAGACAAAATATGAATATGGAAGCTCGATCCCACTTACCCGAGGGTTTGCTCTATACGTCTACTCCGGCCTGCATACATGACACATGCCCTCGTTTACATTCAAATACCAAAACCATAAACGGTTCTTTCAGTCGTGTGTTTCCGTGGAGCGACGAACAAGCCGGCAAATTAACGCTAGTCTGTAACAGCTATAAATTTCATCCAAACGTTACGTGTTTATGCGTGGGGCATGCATCACGGCAAGTGGTTGGTTTGTAATAGACGAACGTGGGTACTGTGATCGCATGTTTCAGCCATTTCGTCCACGATTCCCTCTTTGAAAAGTAAAACTATATTGATTGAGGGATAGAGCGAATCTTCTGTCTTTTCCGTCAGGTGATTGCGAGGGCAGTTTCATCATAGCCCGGAAAATCAGGCGCCACATATTTGGCGAGATCAATACCTCGTGCACCTATGGGTGAGGCTGGCCCTGATTGAGTTCGCGGAGAGATTAGTGGAGGGGACGAGAGAGACTGGTGGGGCAGACACGCTGAGGGTGGTGGTGGTAGATGAGGTGGTGGGGTGAGACTGGAACACTGAAATTGGCTACTGTTCATATGTGCAAATGCATTGATACGTTTAAATGCATTAACGTGCCCGTGTGATTTCCACGCGTATCTATATATTATGGAGTATGTGCCTGTATATGCACGTGTTTGGTGCCAAGACTGTAACGTATTCTGAGACTCTTCGCTAAAATATCTCAAGACACCGACTTAAATTCATCCTGCGATGAAATACACTCTCTGCGCTGTCATAATGGGCTAACGTCAGGAGGTTGTTCAAATTACCTCCCCTTTTTCTGGTATCCTTGGTTACATCATTCTTTCATTACTGTCAAGCAAGATGGCTTGCCCACATCACATATGAAGGTTGGTTGGTTTGTTGTTCAAAGCCGCACTCAGCAATATTCCAGCTGTATGGAATCTGTTAATAATCGTGTCTGGACCTGACAATCAATGTTCAACAACATGAGCATCGGTCAATACAACTGAGACACGATGACATGTAACCAAGCCAGCGAGCCTGACCACCGGTTAGTCGCCTCTTTTGGCAAGCATGGGTTGCTGAAGACCAATTCTAACCCGGATCTTCACGAATCCATTTATGAAGGAATTACTTGTAAAGGAATATAGCAAGACGATGTTCACTATACTGCTAGGCTTTCCCCAATATATTCAAAACACTGTGTCTGTGCCACATAGTTGGTGCCAGAGGAAGAAATTAGGCTGTACCTGGACACTGGCATGTGCCATCTTTAAGGTTTGTGTCTTCTTTAACGCCACAGTCGGCAGTATTCCAGCTATATGACAGCGGTCTGTAAATAATCGAGTGTGGACCAGACAATCCAAAGATCAACATCATGAGCACCGATCTACGCAATTGGGACACGATGACATGTGTCAACCAAGTCAGCGAGCCTGACCACATGATCCCGTTAAACAAAACTTGCTGAAGACCCATTCTATCCCTGATCGCAATCACCAAAGTGTTTCAAAACCACATATACATCATTTGTTCACTGTAAATCATTTAACATGCTGCAGTCGAATAAAACAAACCCTATAACATTTCCTTCGTCTACCTTCCTCCGTTCCCAAGGCAACCAGACGGGAAAACACAGTATTTCATGACTTGTAGTTGCATCTGTCTGATATTATTGGTAAAAACAAAGCTGCAGCCTTTCACGACAGAAAAACACAAACTCGCAACAACCAGCCATATAAAACTTAAACTATTTTTACATGAGACAGCTCGACATCTGATTCAGCTACAACAATTTGACATACACACTCAAATGTCATATCCTCTTTATCGCTGCCTGATGTCAAGGATAATCACACACTAAAAGGATAAAACTGACTTTTTAAAACCATAAACTAACCGTTTTAGTAGTGTTTTATCATGGTTAAAAAGAACTGTGTCTCTCTCGCCATGAGGGTTCGTGCAGTTAGGCGGACCAGCCAGTCAGTAAGCCCTGCTCGAGGATTTCAAACTAATATTCAATTTTTGAACGCCAACTACAATAAAACGAAAGGGTAGTCATATATGCAGCATATTAGAAACGTGTAGATCTGGTTTTACGCCACTGTTATCAATATTCCAGCAATATCATGGCGTAGGACACCAGAAATGGGCTTTACACTTTGTACCCATCTGGGGAATCGAACCCGAGTCTTCGGCGTGACGAGCGAACGCTTTAACCACAACTGACTGACTGACTGAGTTTAGTTTTTACGCCGCTTTTAGCAATATTCCAGCAATATCACGACGGGGGACACCAGAAATGGGCTTAACACATTGTGCCCATGTGGGGAATCGAACCCGGGCCTTCGGCGTGACGAGCCAACGCTTTAACCACTAGGCTACCCCACCGCCCCCTTTAACCACAAGACTACCCCACTGTTATTTCTTTGGTTGATCATGAGCTATTGATCCCGTTATTATGTCAAACGTGACTAACCACTCTGCCTGTTTCCACGCTGCAGTCAAGTTTCATTTAAACGAGACTGGGTTGTAGCAGTTAAAAACAAAAACGGAAAACGTTTACTGACAAGTAACTCTGCACAAGTTCTTTTGACAAAAAAATAAATTATTTCCTAATAATTTTAATAATATATCTCTATATCTGTTTATTTGTCAGTCATGTGCATGTGGTTTGTGCGCGCGGGCGTGAGTGGTCCTGTGTCTGTCTGTGAATTAGTAAAAAATTATGTGTTGTATAAAGCCCTCACACAGGTTGAAATGTGAGTTATGGGATTTATTAATGAGCGAGTTTTTACGCCGCTTTTAGCAATCATCCAGCAATATCACGGCGGGGGACTCCAGAAATGGGATTCACACATTGTACCCATGTAGGGAATCGAACCCGGGTCTTCAGCGTGATGAGCGAACGCTTTAACCACTAGGCTACCCCACCGCCCCGATGTATTCATGACGATAAACCAGCATAGAAGAGTCTGATCAGTTTACTTCATTCAGTTGTGTCGACATAAATCTTCGGACTCCAGAAACGTTTGCTGTTTGATGGATGGGTCAACGAACAGTTAGACTCCACAGTATCCACCAGACAGTATGGTTCTTGATATTAATTGGAAACGTTTGGCCAAAAGAGAAAAAGGTTTTAATAAGAATATAAAAAAACCTCCGCACATTCCTGAATTTGAAATTTGCTTTGAAGAAGTAAGCATTCTAAGACACAAAATCATTTTCCCTTAAAGCCCCACGATATCATACATTTCGTGATTCACCTACCGGTTTCAATTCATTTCCATCTCATCTCACATTGCTGCTATCTACCTGCTGATGATATACAATCACTGGGATTTCTCATTGGTTGATAAAAACTGTGTCAGATATACAAAATAGGCCAACATATAGTAAACAGACTGTCTCTAACTGGGATCAGAACATGAACATATTTATTGGTACAACACAAATCTTATGGATAACGACGTTTCTGGGCTAGTTCTTGCCCCTTCTTCAGGTGAGAAACAAATAAAGGAGTTGTTACCCATACGATTTGTCTTGTATTACTACATCAACTTCTAAATGCCTTTGAAGAATTTTATATTTATTGGTGCTGGGGAAAATGGGCCAAAAGAGAGATGGAACTCATTGAATGTCTGTCAAGGAGGGGTGAGTCAGTGCGCGATGTCATCATTCGTAGAATGCACTAACTAATACAGCGGAAACAGAAGTGGAACCATCCCATTATGTCCCACCCATTGCCTGTTTGAATTACGTTCATCCCAACTGACAAAGCCTAATGAAACATAACCATTTCATGTAATCATCACTACATTAATCTCGTAAAGGAGTTGAGTGTAAGTGACCATCAACTAAGGCCAGTATTTTAACTGAGGAGAAATCTGCATCGGCCTAAGTACCTTTTGACGAGACTCTAACACCTCAAGTATGTCTATTCCTCGTAAGTACTGGATTTCAAAGCTCCATGGACCTTCTTACAAAGAGGAACACATTGCTGCACACAGATGTACAACGAAATCCCTGTCTGAAAGATTTACTATTATCCTAAATGAAATCATGGAAAGGCTTTCTTTATTCACCGAAAGAATTTGAGATTAAAAGCGCGTGGATTCTCCAAAACTCACGTCCTATCCACCCGCTGTACGACTAAAGGGATGATTTCAGCTCTTCATTTAGGTCGAACAATATTCCATCTCACAACTTTTGAGGTACAATCGAGCTTGGTCTTTGCAGAAAGATTCCAAATAGCATCTCAGGACTCCTTTAAACCGTGTTTTATTAGGGTTGCCACATTCAAAGTCTTACTTTGTAAAGATTTCAAACCTTGTGCTGGATATGTGGAGGAATTTTCAAAATCCAACAAATCAGTATGACTGATGCAATTAGATGACTTGCCTTAGCAAGTGTTTGTGCCGGGTGCCATTTTTTCGCGAACAGCTCTTGTCATCACTGTATTGTATAGCGATTCGTTGACACGTTTATTATATAGTTATGATCGTACAATGGACTCTGATTTTTCATGATTATGGAAATCGTTTAGTATAAGCCAAATATTTTATTTCTGAACAATTATCAAAGCCTTATCCATGTGATTATAATGACTGACTGACAGTATGTTGTGATATCTTATGAACCAAACGTAAGAGGCGACGAACGGGATCGGGTGGTCAGGCTCGCTGACTTGGTTGACACATGTCATCGGTTCCCAATTGCACAGATCTATGCTCATGCTGTTGATCACTGGATTGTCTGGTCCAGACTCGATTATTTACAGACCGCCGCCCTATAGCTGGAATATTGCTGAGTGCAGCGTAAAGCTAAACTCACTCACTCACTCTTTTGAACCAAAAAGTTAGGGATCCTAACTATTTTGGAACATATCTGGTATGATCCATTTTCAGGTTTTCCCACAAAACACCCTCGATGTTCTGTTAGATTCTCATTTGCATGTCATGTCATCTTATCCCAGTTTAGGGGCTTTGGGGTAGCCTAGTAGTTAAAGCGTTGGCTCGTCAGGCCAAAGACCCGGGTTCGATTCCCCACATGGGTGCAATGTGTGAAGCCCATTTCTGGTGTCCCCCAAACTCACTCACTCACTCACTTATCCCAGTTGCGAAAATCGATGCTC